CCCCCCCCCCCCCATTCTATTCTTTCAATGCCTATATATCTTTTGGAGTATCTTTCTTCATCAAAAACCCATATTTAATTTTTTATTTTACGAAGGGCCAAAAAAACTTCAATCAAGAAACCAAAACAGCATCCCACAAATCAATAGTGTGGCGTAATTACCCGTAACGATATTTCGGAAGAGAAAAAAAAAAAGAAGAAGAAGAACGGCAGGAGAGAGCGTGTGGGTGCGTCAGAGTTTCAGTGCATTAAAAAAAAAGTCCAAGGCTTTGACTGTCCGGTCACACGTACTCGTAGTAACTACTCTGTCTTTTGACCCGATGTTCTTTGTAGGTTCCCCTCTCCTACTAAATTACACTTTTGTCCTCACTCTGCCGATTGAATTCCGAGGGTAAGAAAGTCTTTTCATATGAGCCCGATGGAGGAGCCCTTTTGCCCGGGCTTCATGGGATCCTGCTGCTGCGTTTACGGACAGATTATCAAAGTGCCTTTGTGATGCTCTTACTTGGATTTGTATCATTAGCACGCGTGTGTGTGTGTGTGTATTGTTTTTGACCAATTTGTTATCACCATGCATGAAGATGCATGATTGTTTTTATTTTCATCATCGGATTTGGACTATACTGAAATCGTGGCTACGGTGAAGGAATATGCCACGGGAAACGCATACATACGTATATGAATGCGCATTTATGCGATTCGGGAGATGTAGTGGACCGCTCGGTTTTATTGAATGTAATGAGAATAATGTCATTATAATTCAAAGTATGTGAGCGAATAAGGAGAGTTGGGATTTCGACGTAAGCATTCCGTCTGCAAGTACAGCAACACGGAGTATAAAACTATATTTAGTGGTCTGACATTGGTAAAAGCGGTAGTAGACATGATGCTTTCTCAATGCAAAAAAGATTTAGCTTCTCTTAAAAATGAAAGTCCATCTCTTTTCTTTTTTTAAAAAAATCAAAATAAACTTTAAAGCTAACGAGGCAACAAAAGTAACAAAAGTATGATGAGGAATAGGGTAAAGGCCAGAGAAATTCCATTGGACGTTTAATCAAATACTAATCAGAGATTTAATAAATTGATAATAATCAATTTCTTCTGACTCCTTTAAAACCCCTCTTACAAACAGAAGCTCCCTTTTCAGTAGAGGTCCGATTCCCAATTTATCTCCCACCCAAAAAAAAAAAAAAAAAAAAAAACAGAAACAGAAACCCGAGAGCGAGAGAGGGAGAAGAGAGAGGAACTCCATGTGCGAAACTGGAGATACTTTCTTGCTCCTCCTTCTTCTTCCTTCGGTTCTGTCTCTTGTTCTTTTCTTGATCCTCTTGAGAAGAACTCGACCCAGACTCAATCTTCCTCCCGGGAAATCCGGTTGGCCGTTTCTCGGCGAAACCATCGGTTATCTGAAACCTTACTCCGCCACTTCCCTCGGAGACTTCATGCAACATCATGTCTCCAGGTAAAATCCCGAATATATCATTTCTTGAATCGTTAAAGTTTCCAACTTTTCGCAAAACCCAGAATTTTCCCATGTTAAAATGTATTCACTTTGAACAATCTCTTGCCCGAGCTCGTGATTTCTCAGTGAAACGATTTCTTGAGAGCTCTAGTTTCTTTTTTCTGAAGTAAACTGGTTCCACACGCTGTCGGAGCACCTATCCTCCAATGTCCGAATTTGAAGTCTGAGTTCGCATCGTGGCAGGTACGGGAAGATATACAGATCGAATTTGTTCGGAGAGAGGACGATCGTGTCGGCAGATGCAGGGCTCAACAGATTCATATTACAGAACGAAGGGAAACTGTTCGAGTGTAGCTATCCTCGGAGTATCGGAGGGATTCTGGGGAAATGGTCGATGCTTGTTCTTGTCGGAGACATGCACAGAGACATGAGGAGTATATCGCTTAATTTCATGAGCCACGCCCGTCTCAGGACGCATCTGATGAAGGAGGTCGAGAGGCATACGTTGTTCGTTCTCGACTCATGGGAAGAAGACACTGTCTTCTCTGCTCAGGACGAGGCCAAGAAGGTGTGACCCATTTTTCTACGAAATGGGTTTGGGATTTTATCTTGATTTGTTGGTCTCTGAACTGAAATCTCCTTTCTTTTTTCTTGGGTTTATACACAGTTTACGTTCAATTTAATGGCGAAGCATATAATGAGTATGGACCCAGGAGAAGAAGAAACAGAGCAGTTGAAGAAAGAGTACGTGACTTTCATGAAAGGTGTCGTCTCTGCTCCTCTGAATCTTCCGGGAACCGCTTACAGAAAAGCCCTGCAGGTGAAGAAAATACTAAATTAACCCATCGATGGAACGGTTTTGTTCAAGTAAAACGCATCACTGTAATGTATATTGTTGTGCAGTCGAGATCGACGATATTGAAATTCATAGAGGGAAAGATGGAAGAGAGGAAGGGGAAAATGGAGGAGGAAGGAGGGGGGGAGGAGAAGGAGCAGAGAATGGACGATGATCTTATGGGATGGGTGTTGAAGCATTCGAATCTGTCGACGGAGCAGATTCTCGATCTCATACTCAGCCTGCTATTCGCTGGACACGAGACATCCTCTGTCGCCATTGCTCTTTCCATCTTCTTCTTGCAAGCTTGTCCTAAAGCCGTCCAACAGCTCAGGGTATGCAGTCTTTACTTGTGAATTATGTTTACGTTGCCGATTGATTACACGTTGGTTTCTGTTGGCGGGTGAAGGAAGAGCATATTGAGATCAAGAAGAAGAAGGAGAAGCTTGAGCTGGACTGGGATGACTACAAGAAAATGGAGTTTACTCAGTGTGTAAGTGATTTCTATGACTTCATTTCTGTCCTTGAGCTTATTGTTTCTAATGGGTTTTGTCGTTATTATATGTGTATATATATTCTTAATGATTTAATTTCCCCTCCCCTGTGATATGATATGACATGAATGAAGGTTATAAACGAGACTCTTCGGCTTGGAAATGTCGTGAGGTTTTTGCACCGTAAAGCTCTCAAAGACGTTCGGTACAAAGGTACAATTGGTGCAATTACTCTCTCTCTCTCTTTTTTTTTTTGGTTAAATTCACTATATAGTGTCATATAGATACATGAAGTTGTAACATGCATGCATTATATATGTTATACATATATACATAAAAAACCTGAAAGATTTTTATGTGATGAATCTGTGTTGTTGGGAAAAAACAAAGGATACGATATCCCGAGTGGGTGGAAAGTGCTGCCGGTGATCTCAGCCGTTCATTTGGATCCTTCTGTATATGATCAGTCCCACCTCTTCAATCCCTGGAGATGGCAACAGGTATATACTTGCTTCTATTACTCCTTGTATTTTGATTATCTCATCTCTCTCTATATATACAATTAAGCAGTAAATGTTAATATATATATATATATATATATTAATACGGATTTCATGGGGCTTAGAAAGTTAATTAAAGTAGGAAAATTTAAAAATACAAGACTGGAAAACAATGATTGGATTAGGTGAGTCGTCCTGTAAAGACATGCGTGAATGAGACGATCCATGAATAGATATCATACCATAACCCATGGAGTCTACCAGAATTGTGAAAGTGATGATTTTTTTTTAAAAAAAAAAATATTATGTTTTTATCAACCATCTTTTCACATTTTTATGGATATATATTTTGCATCATTAATGAAAACATAGACTAGTCAACCCTTCTTTTTGAGGATAATCATCAAATGATAACGTATGAGATGCATGTTGTTTGATGTGAGAAGCCGTATTACTAGAGAGAGAGAGACGGGAGATGCGTGAGGATTTGGACGAGACATGAAATGAAAGATGCCTAATTCTTTTTTTCCTTTTTTGAAAATTACAGCCAATAAAGGGGACCATGAAATTAACGTGGTACCCAACTCTATTGGAGAATCTTGTCCGTCCGTTGGTTTCGAGATTCGTTATATAGAACCCGTTGAAAATTAAAATAAAGGAAAGAGGAGAGGACGGTGTGGTACCACGGCCTGGACGACGTGGTGATTGTCGCCATACGGCGTACGTGTGTTGGATTCTCCACCTGTGTCCGGTCCCACCCTCCTACCTCTTTATTTATACCCCAAATAAGATTTACATTTATCTTTATCGCTATTTTAAATGGCTGTTTAATTTCCGGATATTCAAAATTTCACGGACTTTGTAACGTTTTTTTTTTCTCTGAAATTGGAGGCATTTTTAAGCGAAATGATTTTTTTTTCCTTCAAATTGAGCAATGAAAATACAGATGTAAATCATACTGTTGTTTTTATATTCTGTCTTTTTAATTTTTTCCTTAAAAAATCTAGAAAAACATAATGAAATGGCCAATTATGGACGAATCTCTCTCTTTTTTTTATGGAAAAGGAAGAAATGGATACATCGGGAGATTGTATTGTGTGGTATAATAATTTAAAGATGGAAGGAGTGGTGAGTGGAGAAGGTAGAGGTGGGTGTGGGTATGATTAAAGGCCACGTGGGCGTGTCCCTGTGTGGTGCCAACATGCACGTGTGCTTTCCCGCGAATCCTAATCCTCCCAAAAAGAAAAAAAAAAAGAGGTAGAGGGTCTAAAACGTTTTGCCGTTTATTCTGCAGCAAAACAGCGGGACGTGCGGTTCGTCTTCTGCGGGATGCGGGTACTCGTCGATGTGGAGCAACAACTTCATGCCATTCGGAGGAGGGCCGAGGCTCTGCGCGGGATCGGAGCTCGCGAAGCTAGAGATGGCAGTGTTCATACACCATCTCGTGCTCAATTTCCACTGGGAATTAGCCGAAGACGACAATGCCTTCGCCTTCCCTTTCGTCGATTTCCCCAAAGGATTGCCCATCAGGGTCCGCCGTTATCCGAATCCATTGTAGAAAAAATATAAAATTAAATAAAATATTCGTTTCGATTTTTTATTCTTAAAAATCCTGCCCTGAACAAGGAAAGGATTGGGTTCCGATTCGGGGCCGTGATCGAGATGGGAGCTGACTTGTTGGATACAATGGGAGAATAAAAACAAAATTGAGATGAGGATTGGGACATTAAACCCTTGTAAATTTTAATTTTTCACTCCATTTATTAATATGTTACATACAATATAATCTATGTTTTTTTTTTGTGTGGGTAAATCGTTATTGTCTGTCACAGCTCATACGATCTTGATGCAGAGACTTGCCAATAGAATTGTCGTCTTGATCTGCTCATTATTTATATATAAGATGCAATCTAGATTGGTTTAATTGCGCGTGTACACATTCACATTGATCGAATATAGGAAAAGGGCATTTGCTTATTCAATTTAATGCAGAATCTAACACATGCATGCATGCAATGCAACCGCATGTGTGGGTCGGTCAATATGCCATGGATAAGTATATATTTTAATCTAACCTTTTCCGCATTTCTCTCAAAAAGCTGAAGATGATAATAATAATAATAATAATAATAATGGCTATCACACCCATACAAACACACGTATATATATATATATATTCAGAATAAGACAACTACGTCATTGGAAAATCGAGACAGATACGTTTAGAAATTGATTTCGGGCCAAGTGAGACATGCCAATGAAATAGATTTTTTTTTTAACAAAAAAAAGAAGAGAGTAATGAATTTTGTTGTGGAAAACAAAATAATCATCATCGTGGTTTATTTTAACAGATCCATAGGTGGGTCGAATAGTCCAAGAATTTGGGATCGGCCCAATACACTTAAAAGCCCAGTCATGTTTCATGTTGGCCCGTGGATGGTATTGGTAATGGTAGGGGTAGAAAAGGAAAGAAACCCGAGTTGGGAAAACGGTCGATTTGTCGTACGATGAATCTTATCGTATGGTTATTTGTCTGACATGAGAATTCGGGGGAAAAAAAATTAATGGAATGTTTGGTCGCTGCATGAACATAAGATTGTATGATAATAATGTGTCATTATTAACAAGTGGATGAAAGTGACGCAACTGAGAGTCTCTCTCTCTCTCTCTCTCTCTCTCTCTCTCTCTCCCCCCACTTTCCCCACTCATTCCATTTTTTGTTTTATTAATTCAAATACTTCCTACACAGCATGTTATTTAAATTATTATAGATCAACACGTATCGTAAGAGAACGTTTTAGTTTTTTTTTTAATTTCGAAACTCTACTCAACATAATATATCCTTAGGATATGATATTTTCTATATATAGGGTCATAAGTGTTATTTATAAAAACAACTCTAATAGTTCAATTTTTGTCTAAATTTGACAAAAAAAAACATGTACTCAATTTTAGACTTGAAATTTAATATAGCGGCGTCAACATCTAACACAACTGAAATAGGAACCGAACCAACAAAAAAAAAATGATATTATAGTATTTCCATAAGGGACATTTTGTAATATGCGTGTGATTTTATATATCACATAAAAATTAGGACCAGTCGATGTCAAGGACGAGACAAAATTAGCAGCTCCACGTCAAAAGATGAAATAAAATAAATTAAACCACTCAACCCGATTATTTTCAACATACGTATCATGTAATATGTAACAGCCCTTTGGCCTATTGAACGTCACATTATACAATTTCAAAACCCATTTCGGTCTTTGAAGGAAACTTTAATAAGAATGGTAAAATCATAACCAAAATGACAAAGATACACGAATTTAGAGGTAAAGCAAAGTGGTGATTAGTCGTCTAATCCCTCCGGCTAACGAATTAGATAAAGGGTTCGACTGGTTGTACCGCAGCGGTTGCGGTTGCGGGTGGCAGCATTTTCAGAACGTTTGATAGTGATTATAAACGATTAGTAATGACTGGTTGAGAAGTTGTTATTGGTAGTGATTGCGGGTGGATGCAGTTATAAGTGAATGATTCATTACGGTTGCGGTTGCGTTTTGATATAAATTGTCAAAAAAAATATTATTTAAAAATAATTTTTTATAATAGTTTTAATTAAAATTTTCGTATCATTTGATAAAAATTATTTACTAAATTTATAATAATTAAATAATAAATTTAAAATATAAATATTATCAATTTAATTTATTTTTAAGTAAAAAAATAATTTTATTATAAAAATTATTAAAAATAATCATTATTAAACCTAAAAATTATACTATTGTATTTTTTATTAAAATATAATACTAAAAAATAATATCAAATCATAACACTAAACAAAATCATCACCAATATATATATTAATGTTTTCTATAATTTCTAATAAAAATATTTTATTTTTTTTGTCAAAATGCCGGAAACCGCTACCAAAACGCAAGTTGGAATCTGCGATTAGAAAACACAAGTTTGGTTGCGGTTGCAATTGGTTGCAGTTCAACTAGTCAATTTTTCAATCGCCCGCACCCGCCGAAAATCGCAACCGCTGCGTTTACGGATGGCGGTGGTGCAACCAGTCGCCCCCAAAGTCGGATTCACCGATATACTTTGTCACTCGCTATGGTTTTATCTAAAGCAACCTTTTCAGACTTATTTTGACCGAAGACAGTTGAATGCAAATTTCAAAATTTATTCGTTACAAGATTGAACATTTCTTTTTTAGGAAAAAATCTCAAGAGTAATTATTATATGATAAGTATTAATGGAAGCTATACATATCCCCGACGAAATCAATACCGGAACAAAAAATTTATAATTTCGAGAGTTTTCTTTGTTTTAGTTGTAATTTTTGTTGAAACATCAAACAAATGGGATCGATCGAGAGATGGAAGTGGGAACCACGGAGAGGGTCCTTTTGACGTGGAGACAACCATGAAACCCACAAAGGTTTTCCTCAAGCCATTGCCATTGTTCTCTTTTTTTATCATTATCTTTTCACTTATTTTATTTTGAAATATATGGTCCATCACTGTCCACACTCAATGATTCATGGGTATATATATATATATATAATATATGTAAACATGCATTATTTTATCAAACAATTGTTTTTAGTTTATCCTCTATTCGTGATTTGTTCGGGAATCATATTATTTAAAAATCGGGAAAAAATGTATGATGCAGAAAGAGACAAATACAAAAGCAACTGTTCAAGAAAATGGACCAAAATTGTGCAAAGTTTAACGAGTCGATTGTTCTTACTTTCCTCCAAAAAGCAGTCAAAAATCGTTTCAATTTTTTATTTTATTTTCGTGATAAGAAAGAGCCACCAAAATATCTCACCTGTTTTTTCTCTTCATGTTTTCAGTTATTTGCTTTTAGGGCTTGATCTCGGGTCTAAGAGGGGCCCACCATACACAGCCTTTACCTAGCATTATGAGCCCTACGTGGGCCATTTTATGGCCCATTAGCCGCCTGTATGTGTGTGTATAATTGACAACGAAAGGAGCGCGAACGTACCTTCTCGTTCTAAAGCTTCCATATAATTCACTCAGGCGAATTGTTTTGCGTACACTATTCTGTTAGACGAATAAAAATGTTCACTCAGGCGAAAATTTCCGAAAAATAATTCATATCTATCATACATTTAATTTAAACAATTACAAAGAACCCCAAATCGCCCCAAAATAATGGAATATTTTTACATCCGATTTAATATGTATTTACTAATTCAATATTAAAAAAATATTTAGATATATTTTACCTTTGCCCCAACCCGACAGGCAAAATTTTTCACCTTTTGCCCTAACTTTCTGACGTCGCTCTCTTTTTCTCCCAAATAGATTTCTCTCCGTCTCTGACACGTAATTTCTTACCCAAAGTTAAAAGTTTCCAGTGACATGCAGGTGACAAGTTGCAGAAGACAGAGTCTACGTGTCATCTTTAGAGATGAACTCTAATCCACGTGGTTCTGATCTGTTAATGAACGGTGGAGATCTTGTCGAGATCGATCACGCCAATGATGACGTCACTGTAGACATTGTGGGTCCCCGCCTAACAGAGTGGGCGATTTATTATGTACTAATTGACACTGCCTTCCCCTATAATACGTCGATAATTCCAATATCTTTTCCCGTCTTTTTTATTGTTAGGCGATATTAAAAATCTTTCTATTAAAAACAAAACTTTCTTATAATAAAACAAAATCGATAAATTTTATGACGTTTATGGGACCTACTGTCTTTGCCATGTCATCGGTTGGGTGAGTGATGTAGAATAGACTGTGGAAAAAAAAAACAATGTTAATAGCTGTTTTTTTTAATTAATTTCAAAATTAACTAAATCGGATGAGATGATTCGATGAAAACTGTCATTCTGATTGCTGTATTATTGCATTAAAAGAATAATTTTGATGACAATAAATAAGTAAAATCATATAAAAAAAATGGTATCACGTTAATTATGATAACTCAAAACTTCTAAAATGATAGCAAATGAAAAAAAAAATCAATAAGTTTTAGAACTCCACCGTACTCCACTGAAAGTAATAATAAATTAGTGGAGAACATAGACAATGATGGGATGACAACAGCGTTAGTATTATTACCGTTGTAAAGAGTGTAATTAAAAATAATATAAATACTTGAAAAGGGCATAAAGGGGCCCACAATCAAATCGGACGGTCACCTTTTAATCAGCGTTGGTCCACTTTCTAGGGCTGACCTTTCCTACTATATCTGTACTCTCCTCTCCCTCCCCCCCTCCCCTTTTCGCTCAAATAAAAATCCAAGCTTCATAGTTAGTATTCCGCCGCTCTTCTTCTCCTCTAATCTAAACCTGTACTCTCTCTCTCTCTCTGGGTTCATCTTGCAGCGGGAGTCACAGGAGTGGCTTCGTCTCCGGCGAGATCTGGCCGGAGAATGGCGTACATGTGCGCTGACAGCGGCAATCTAATGGCGATAGCCCAACAAGTCATCAAGCAGAAGCAGCAACAAGAACAGCAACAGCAGCAGCCCCACGACCACCAGATTTTCGGCACGAATCCTTTGTCCATTAATCCATGGCCCAACACCACCACCCACCAGTCCCTCGGATTCGGGCTTCCGGGACCGGGTTTCTCTGACCCGTTTCATGTCTCCGCCGTTGGAGAATCCGGTGACCCGGTCTTTCCCTTCTCGCAACTCGAGCATCACAATCCAAGCGGCGGTGGCGGCTTTCGGTTCTCCGATTTTGGCGGCGTAACCGGCGGTGAGTTCGACTCGGACGAGTGGATGGAGAGTTTGATTGGCGGAGGAGACTCGGCGACGGACGGCTCTGGCTGCGATGTGTGGCAGAACAACCCGGACTTCGTAATTTACGGACCTGATCCCTTCGTGGCATGCCCGAATCGACTCAGTGTCGCCTGTTCTCAGCCATCGGATCTCAACCGAGTCATCTTCTCGGATAAGAAAGACCCGGCGAGTCCGCCTCATCCCCCGCCGGTTTCTACCAGCATGTGGGCTCCTTCTCCGCCGCAGGAGTTAGCCCGAACAGCGGCGACGAAGGACACCAGAAGAAATGAATCCGTTGCCGAACCCTCGTCGGACTTCGATCTTGGGTCGACGTTCCTGAAAGCTCTCCACGACTGTGCCCAAATCATCGAGACAGAACCGGACCGCGCCGCCGAAACGCTTGTCCGAATCCGGGAGTCAGTGTCGAAGCTCGGTGACCCGACAGAAAGAGTTGGGTTTTACTTCGTGGAAGCCCTCTTCGAAAGACTATCTCCGGAAGCTGATTCGGCGGCGAGGGAATCCCCGGCATCGCTTGAGGATTACATACTCTCATACAAAACCTTAAACGATGCTTGCCCGTACTCGAAATTCGCTCACTTGACGGCGAACCAGGCGATTCTCGAAGCTACCGACAAAGCGAGCAAGATTCACATTGTCGATTTCGGGATTGTTCAAGGTATTCAGTGGGCTGCTCTACTTCAAGCTATGGCGACCCGAGCGTCTGGTAAACCCACCCGAATCCGGATCTCGGGTATACCCGCTTCGTCTCTGGGCGACTCTCCTGGTCCGTCTCTTGCCGCCACGGGGAATCGCCTCCGTGATTTCGCTCGGCTTCTGGATCTGAATTTCGAGTTCGACCCGATTCTTACTCCCATCCACTTACTTAACGGGTCGAATTTCCGGATCGAGCCGGGCGAGGCTCTGGCAGTGAACTGCATGCTTCAGCTGTGCACCCTTCTCGACGAGACGCCGGTGGCCGTCGAAACGTCTCATACAAAACCTTAAACGATGCTTGCCCGTACTCGAAATTCGCTCACTTGACGGCGAACCAGGCGATTCTCGAAGCTACCGACAAAGCGAGCAAGATTCACATTGTCGATTTCGGGATTGTTCAAGGTATTCAGTGGGCTGCTCTACTTCAAGCTATGGCGACCCGAGCGTCTGGTAAACCCACCCGAATCCGGATCTCGGGTATACCCGCTTCGTCTCTGGGCGACTCTCCTGGTCCGTCTCTTGCCGCCACGGGGAATCGCCTCCGTGATTTCGCTCGGCTTCTGGATCTGAATTTCGAGTTCGACCCGATTCTTACTCCCATCCACTTACTTAACGGGTCGAATTTCCGGATCGAGCCGGGCGAGGCTCTGGCAGTGAACTGCATGCTTCAGCTGTGCACCCTTCTCGACGAGACGCCGGTGGCCGTCGAAACGGCGCTCCGGCTGGCGAAGTCGCTGGACCCGAGAATTGTGACCCTGGGGGAATACGAAGCGAGCTTAAACCGGGTCGGATTCTCAAACCGGGTGAAGAACGCACTCCGGTTTTACTCGGCCATGTTCGAATCCCTGGAACCGAATCTACAGAGAGAATCGCAGGACAGGCTGAGGATAGAGAGAGTGATAATGGGTAGAAGAATCTCGGACTTGATCCGACCCGAGAAACCGGGGACCCGGAGAGAACGAATGGAGGACAAAGAACAATGGCGGGTGTTGTTGGAAAAATCGGGTCTTGAGTCGGTGGCGCTAAGCAATTACGCGGTGAGTCAAGCGAGGATCCTTCTATGGAACTACAATTACAGTACATTGTACTCTCTGATTGAAACCGAACCAGGTTTCATCTCCTTGGCCTGGAACGACGTGCCTCTTCTCACTGTTTCTTCTTGGCGCTAATGAATATTCCGACAAAAATTTCCCAAGATGTTAATACAACCCCCCCCCCCTTCCCCTTCCCCTATTGTTGTCTTTTGGTAGTTGAGATGTCGAATTAGGACTAGAGATTTGTAATTTCAGCCAAGTAGTTTAGAAGCATCTCCATCTCCTTGGAAGCTGTTCTTAGTTTTGTTGTTAAACTTAATCCTCTCCGCCTTTTTAAACAGCTTAGTTTCCTTAGATCTGGATTATGTTCGGTCACTTGTCTGAGACGATGATTACGATTCCAAACTGTAGAGAAAGGGAATGGCAGATATATGTGTAACCCCTCGTACATACATTTGATTGTTTACCCATATATATATACACACTCTGATGTTCTTCTAATCATTCGACCAAGTATTCTTAAGATACGTGTGTTTAGATATTCATACGAGAATGTGCGGGAAACACGTGTTCCGTAGTTTTGATATGTAAAATGTGTATTAACTTGTATTATACAGTCAATGTGTATTATCATTTTGAATATTGTACGAAAGTAACTGAGATAGATTCGAGTTATTACTTTTTATAAATTCCTGAAATTGCATGGAAGGGTGAAAGTGGTTGAGAAATTCACTCAAGCATATGGAAAATAAAGGGAGAGGAAGATTTTGCTTCGGCAATGGATCCCATAGAGAAACCTCATTCAAAGTTCTCTTTTGCCAAACCACTCGGTTCTTCCACTTATGTCTCTCTCCCCTTTTGCTCTTTCGGTCCCCATTTCCCCACTTCTCCCTATTTCTCCTTCTCTCTGTGTGTGTATATATATATATATATATATATTTGTTTTGGATTTTCTTACCATCCAATTTCAGACACTATACAACATACAGGAATTTCATACTGTGTACTCACGAGCACGACGACAAAATTGGAAAACCTTTATTCCATCGATCGGTGTTTTATTATTTCGGTAGTAAACAAAACAATTATTCGAGCCGAATTTCATCATAGCAACGTTGGACTTTTTTATCGAGTGTACGCACAATTTGCATTATAATATCTTGTACATTTCTTGATATGATTCGCCACTTGAGGATAAGGCCATCCCTGGAATGGATAGGATCAATCAAATGCTAATTATTCCACCCCCATCATAATTTTTAAAAATATATGCGATCCATAAATGTAAATATATTGGATACGTGGGTAAATGAAAGGAGAGAGTCAAAGATTTGATTAGTAACAGTAGAAGCCATTATGAACATTTGACTGTAATCTAATATCTTACGAAGCAGTCATCATTCACCCACTGCCCCTTTCACCTCTCACCGTCGCTGTCAGTCTTCCTACTCTTTTTGAATGTGTCATGATGACGTCATGCATATCCCCTCAACGGTCCCCGCACCCGGACCACCTATCCCCCGCTGACGTGTCATTTTCTTCCAGTCCCGTCGTGCGTATCTCCCCTACGCCTTCCCGTATCAGATCTCCACATCCCCCTCTTAGTTTTACTTTAGCCCCCAACTTTCTGACAATTACGGGACTACCATCCGACGACTACTAAACTCTAACGGGCCCAATGGGCCTCTTCTAGGCTCAATCGTTTGAAACAAATAATGGACTGCACGTAGCCGCTCAGATTGTCTTTGTATGCTTCTCCTCGTGTGTATTGGGCCTCTTTTCCAGCCCATTTAATCTGTTGTCGATTTTTTTTATTGGTGATAAGTTCTGGGCCTTAGAAGATCTTGTAATGGGCTTATTATTTGTATCTTATGATCTACCTCAATCAATCCAAAGAATTTGAAATCCATATAAATACTAATTTATTAGAATATTATAAAAATAATAAACCTAAAATATGTCAATTAATGGAATACTGATAGTTTTACACATACGGACCTCGATTCGAAGATAACTTCCGTTACGTATTCCGTCGAAATCAAACGTTTGTATGGGTTCCGAATTTTATGCATATTTTTAATAACGTTTTAACAAACGAGATTTTAAAAATAAATAAAGAGTCATTATTTAATTGCGTATACCTAGAATTCGCAAGAGAGATCATGGATCGAAAATATTGCACATACCCCAACTAATTCTGGACAGCTCATTGCTTCCATTTGTCAGTTTATCAGGAGCCGACCCATTTGAAAACTATATGTTAAAAATTGTTATAAATTTAATACTAGAATTATTTACGAAATAATAAACACGTATCGATATAAATTATCAGTTACGAAGCTACCTTTTTAATTGTTTATGTAAGAATCGAGATGAAAAAATATTGTAAAGCCGCACCCGCACGTACGCCTCCGTATATTGGATACCCTGTAAACAGCTTTCCATGCATTAAATAGAGAGCTTCGTGCTACATATATATATATATATTGTTCGACCGTGTGATTCGTTTCCTTCACATAAACTTCAAAATAAATAAATATGTTGTATATGTTCATATTACAATAATTCCTGTTTCTTTTCATTTCGTTTCCCCTTCAAGTAATTATGCAATCAACGTTTGCTAATTAAAACGGCTTTAGATTAACACTATGTTGGATTTTTATTGCGCGCACAAAAAACAAGACGAGACGGCCTTTGACCAGTCATTGGCATGTCGACACGTGGCATGAACCCGCACAATGCACTTCGACTTCGAACCATGTGATTGACAACCAGTGTGCCCTTTGACCGCACGTCACAGTCGGGTTTCTATGTGCGCGCGCGAGAGATAAAACGATTAGAAACAATTTCATTATTTCGAAAAAAAAAACTATTTATTTTAATCATAAAAAATATCTCATATGTTGCTCGGAAATCTCCCAAACGCATCGGTTTTCATCAAATTAATAAATTTTTTTCGTACTTATACGGATCACGAAATCCCTAGTATGTGCATGAAAAATCTTTCCATAATAAATTTAAATAAATAATGGTGACAAGATATCTGAGGTCAACTAGGACGAAAGAATAAAAGGACACTGTCACCTCAAGTTTAACCATATCATATCATATGATTTTAATAACATTTTTCACATCTAAATTCGGAATAAATTATACACTTGTTACAGTGTAATTTATACGTATTTTTACACACGTGTATAATATGTATACACACGCATACATACATATAAGGTAACTATCATGGACTAATGGACATATCGCTTAAATTACAATGTAAATGTTCATTGATAAATTAATGGATGTGTAGAAATTGCTTCAATTTAATTGAGAGGCTAATGAATATGCTTTAAGTGACACTTCTGTGACTATGTTATTGTATTTTTCATTATTTGTTTTCGCGTTCCATTTAATTCACCTATTCAGATTTTGAATTCCTTTACTTTCCCTGGTCCTACAAACATTAAGTACTCTCAATACTTAAAAGCGTATTTATAGCTGAAACCTTCCAAGTGAAACGAATTCCTCTTTGATGCATATCCGAAAACTTTACATACAGTCGGTTTTTGAAGTTTGAAATTCAGAATCTTCATTTACACCACTGAAAAATAAAATAACGAAATAAATGCAGGTTGACCGTTACTGTTTTCGTAATAATTAACCACCGAATCTTCATTAAATCAAAAGGTTACAATTACATTACCTATAAAAATGTAATCAAGCAATAAAGAAAATGATCCACACGCTTGGAAGTACTCCACTTGCTGTCGCTTTCTCAAATAGAAATATCGGAATCCAATTAAAACAGCTGTACGCAGCGTTTTAGAATTCCTAACATCCGAGCAGTTTCTCTCAAGTAACTTTGGAAGTACACTTGAAATTTTTAACTTTGTACTGCTACTAACCACGAGTAAATTCACTTCACTTCTGTCATTTTTAATATTTCATAAATTTTTTTCAGAGAAGGCACTGTGACTTCGTCATCTATCTCTTCTGCATTATAAACGAGATGGGTAGGGTAGACCACATTATATATATATATATAACTGCACAAGGCCTCCCTGTGTAAGCGGGGGTCCCTCCAAGAATTTAATCTCTCCGTCTCTCTCGATTCGTAAACAGAGTATATAATTCGACGGATATAGCATCTTTTCGCTAATGGCATGCTTAGAAATGTACAACTCCAATGGCGGTACTCCCATTAGCCCTAGAATCTCCTTCTCCAACGACTTCGTTGAGATCAAACCGGAGAAGAGCAACACCGTGAGAGCAAAGACTGAGTTGTCGTCGTCTGATTTCGAGTTCTCCGTCACGAACTACACCATGATGACAGCCGACGAGCTCTTCTTCAAAGGAAAGTTGTTGCCTTTCAAAGAGACGAACCATGTTCAAAGGACTTTGAGAGAAGAGCTTCTGATCGAGGAAGACGGAGGGTTCTCACTCAGGCCTCCGCCATTGTCGCCGTCTTCGTCAAAGGGAAGGTGGAAAGGGCTGTTGGGCCTCAAGAGGGCAAACGGTTGTTCCAAGAAAGCGGACAAGAACACTGATGAGCGATTTGTTCTCTCGGAGACTATCGTTCACAACAAACAATCTCAGGTACGTTCTTTAAATTTTTTGTCAAAGTTTTGATTTTGCGACCTGGGTTTCGTGTTAAATATATTGTTTGCTCAGAAGGGTTTTGCAAAAATGGTTCATTTTAACATGTGTTTGGACTTTGGTGCAATGCTCTTCTGATTTCAGGAACAAGGGTCAACTTGGAGCGGCATGGAGAATGACATGTAGAGAATTCAGATTTTGTCCTAGGATTATATTTGGTTCCTGATTTCAGTTTAGATCTTTTTATAAATAAAAAAAAAAACAGGAAATAAAAATTAGATGGTGTTTGTTGAATTTGGTTGGTTGTACAAAAAAACTAAGTCGTTAAGCTATATATGTGTAGTTGAAGATATTTTATAATTCAATGGTGGCTTGTTTGTGTTCACATGTGCTTTGTGTGATGGAGATGGATCATGTCTCGACACTGAGATCTGTTCGACTTGGAATCTTGATCGAGATGTATCATTTGTCTCACCACTCGTCTTGTATTTATATATTCAATCTCTCTCTCTCTCTCTCTCTCTCTCTCTCTCTCTCTCTCTCTCTCTCTCTCTCTCTTAGTTGATCTACCGTTTCATGGAATCGTGTGTGCTTATTTGATCTCTCAAGCCGTGTTGTATGGATGTGAATTCGCTGCAATTAAAATTGGAAGTGTTGAGAAGTTGGGGAAACCTCCCATGAGTTGGTTAAGGAGCATGGGGGGAAACCATAAGGTCGGGGGTTCGACTCCTTACCGTCTCCTTGGCTCTCACCTATCGCCTGTCAGTTATGACTGATTTATCTCCCACGTGTGTGTTGTAGGCTCGAGTACGTGGAATTGGAATTTTCTTTGGTCCGCGACGCTGTCCTGATGTCGTCCTCGTCCGGCCTATTGGCCTGTAGGCGTCCAATGTTCTCCCGAAGAGTTGTAGGACAGGTTCTCCAATATATATATAAAAAAAAAAAAAGTGTTGAGAAACTGACATGGCTGCAATGATAAAGACGTAGGGCGTTATGCTTAAACTAATCATTATCCGGAGTTTCTAAATGGCAATGTGCCACAAAAAACAAAAAACCCCAGTCAAGTAATTAATTAATTTGAACCGTCCAAATGTTACACGTCGCCTTAAATGGGCCTTTGTTAATAATGGGCCGGCTTACATTGTATTCTAGGTTATAAGGCCCAACATATCAGTCGAAGTGCCCATTTCTCTGTGCCTTTGTTTGGGGAAAGAGAGCTGGAGAAAATTGCACAGAGTTTCCACCAATTTCACTGTTTTAACATGTTCATAAGTATCGAATTCTGAAAATACTCTTTACAAAAAAAAAAAAACACACACACACACACGACGCAACGTGTTTGCGATTTTACTTTTGAATTAATATAATAACAGAGATGTATAAATTGTAAACTAATAAACGTAACAGAGATGTTTCATCAACGCAACGTGTTTGCTTGAACGGTATGTGTTCAAATACCACTATACCTTTGTGTTCTGTTCCGTAGGAGTGTAATATGTGTATTAATGGTAGGTGATGAAACATATTTGAAATTTTAAAAAAAAAACGAAATTTTTTTTTAAAAAAAGGAAAAGCTCTGACGTCGCATGAGAGTCTGGGATCTTTTGGAGTCTGTGAGTTCAGGAATATCCCGTAATGATGCGAGAGTTTGGTACGAAAAGATTTATGATTGACCATTTCTCTGTTATAACCCTAAATACCTTTTTTCGTCACATGCGATTTCAAATTTTAAAATGCATGAATTTCGAGATCAACCTGTGATTGGGAATTGAATTGATTATTCAAATAAACTCATGTTACTAAAAATAATTATTTAATTTTTTTTTTAAAAAAAAGTAAAGGAAATCAAAAGACTGGAATGCATCTTTGGTTGGATTCACTGAAATTCCATTGTTTCTTTTTGGGCTTGGACAACACTGTCATTTTACATGGTTTTATTTTTTGCAAGTAAAATTACCATTTCATTATTTGTATATAATAAGTGGGGAAATAATTGAAGAGTTACTGGGAACGTTACATCCAGTTAAGAACACGTCACCGACTGTATATGTGTGTGTGTGTGTATATATATGCTGTTGTAAGCTAAATGAATGAATACTAAACAGGGAATGCAATGTACCGGAAAGGAACTGAAGAAAGGAATTTGTAAACGCTGCTCTTTGTTCCTCTCTTCTGTTAAATCCCTCTCTCTGCTGTTTGCAGGAAAAAGAAGCTTCTTTCTTGTACCAACCCAACTCTTCCCTAAATTCCTTGCTCCCTCATCATCATCACTACTACCCATTTTTATTTTTTATTTTTTCTCAATTTGTCACTTAATATAGATGTCAATAAAAACACACAGCAACTGTGTGACATTTAAATTTTTTACTAATCCAAATTTTACATGTAATAATCAGTGACATGCTAAAAAATTCTGTTTATGCACTTACAAGAACCAAAGAATTTGAACCCTTTCAGACATGGTACCACCATTTCACCAGAAGAGATGCAATTTCTGGGTACAGAATTTTTGTTTCCTCGGTCAGGCAGCGGTTATTAGTTATCAGAGCTATCTACAATTTTTTTTTTTTCTTTTTTTTGCAAAGCAAGACGAAAGTGGTTAAAATAAACTAAAAAACGGAAAATGGAATCAAAGGGTGAGAGAGATTTGCCACAATTTGGGAGAGTTGTGGAAATGTAGGTAGATGTGGCAAGGATGCTTCAGGGCTTCAATTTAACCCACTCGTAACGCCCATCCATCGCCTCCTCTTTCACAAAGTCGAAGTTATACCTACAATTTCGTCGTGTTTTAGTTTTGTTTGGTTGCCCAGAAAACCAACGGATTTTCCCGACTTGCCCATTCGATTTATGAGGAGGAAGGGGAACCACTTACTTCCTAGAACATTCGAATATCTTTTTACGGATATCCTTCTCCGCCGTCATGAAGAAGTCTTCCAGTTCAGTTTCCGTCCCCGTCGACCTCCGACACGACTCGGCTGCCTCCGCCGCTTGGATCTCCCCGTCGGCGTCGGAATCCATGCTGTTCAATTCCTCCCGGTGCTCACAGAAGAACGACGTTCGGTTCCTGAGAAGGGGAGCAATTCACTTTCATATATTTTGAGCACAGTAACTGGCAGCATTTATAGCCTATGCGGGTTCAAATTTTGAAACGCTCTCTCAGAGAGAAATTCAAAATTATGGAGAGAGAGAGAGAGAGAGAGAGAGTATTAACAACCTAGTGCTGCAGCTATAATGCCTCGACATCCCGGTTTCAGCTACGTTATCTTCCTGCACAAAACAAAAATTCGAGACTCACAAACGTGGAGGAGAATCTGGAAATCAAATGTCAAAACTGTGTTTTTTTTTTTGGAAAAAGCTGTGCCAGTGTTTTTTTTTTTTAAGTTCAAAATTCAAACTGAAACTAAGAGAGCCAAATCCTAACCTCCAGATCTACGAATTCGATACTCCCGTTCCGTTTCTCGCTGAATCCATTACTGGAGCAGCAAGAGATCGAGGCGCCGCCTAGGTTATCCTCCGTGCTAGGGCTTTGACACCGATCGCTAGCCGACGAATTACGTCCGACGACGCTGGTATCCTGTTGCTCCGCCAAATCGTTCGGCACAAATCCACCACTGTTCGCGAGCTGTACACACGGTGAAGAAGTTATCCTCGATTCTCCACCAGCCGCCTTTTCTACCTTCCTCCGCTTCACGGCCGGCGTCTCCGTCGTCGCTTCATCTCCCGACGCATCCCGCTCCCTCGTCCTACCTCTCACATCCATCTCCGGTGCCGCCATATCCATCACCTAACGTGATCACTCTCTCTCTCTCTCTCTCTCTCTCTCTCTCTCTCTCTGCGCTTGGTTTGTCTGTTATATTCGTGACGGTGACGAACGGGTGAATCGTATTAACGGCTACAATATCATCTGTGTTCTCATTGTCAGCGTGAGAGTTATATAACAACCAGAAGCAAAAAAAAACTCACACGAAGGTTGCGTACAAAGAAGGAATAGTGGGGGCCTCTTCGGACTTTGTTTAACAGCGACGGCAATAGTGTAACGGGAAATTTGACGGCGCCGTTATACTGATCCACATTAGGCCAAATATCAACCGCTCTGCATGCGACACGTGTACATTCCACTTGGATGCGGCAACAGCCTCTTCGGAGACGTTTTAACGTTTAATATTCGTACATCCCCCAAGTTAAACTATTTATGATACATATCCTCCATAATCAGCTATAATAAAGTTTGAATTTGTTTTGGATTTTGTATGTTTTGTTTATTTAAATATATTATCTATTATAATGGAACCATTATTAAATGAGGAGAATAATTCTCGCGGTTTTAGATAAGATTAGGATTTGTTTTTTTTTTTTAAGAATCCGGAGGCGAGAGAGCTAGTCTTGTCTTGGGGTAATAATTGTGGGTTTAGTACGAAAATACAACAATACCCCTCGCATTTTAGAAAAACAACGAAAATACCACGGGCACCAACCCTCACGGGGCTACCAAACGCTTCCTTCCCATTTTATAATTCAAATGGACCGTGATCCAAGTTATACCAAAAGTTTGTAGCGCCACAACAGAGCTCTATTTGCTCTATCTAGTGTCGATTTTATCACGTTATAATATATCATAACACTGATTAATGGCAGCTTAAACTTGAATAATCCCACTATGCATGATAGTTCCGTAAGTTAATTAGAACGATGTACGTGAGTAGAGGTGTCGAATAATATTGGGGGACATGGTACACATATCCATTAAATTTAGGGCCATGACGGTGTAACGGTTAGGTGATAATGAAATCAATGCTGTAACATGCTGTTTTGTGAAATTTTTTTACGTACACAAACATATTCACATGCATAAATATACATGTGCGTGTGTGTGTAGACTGTAGTGTTAGAAGTGGGACGCTATTTAAATGGGAGGTCCGGCACATACATTAATGGGCCACCGTTATATATATATATGAATATTATTAAATAAAAACAAATAAATTCATAACATATATCGGTACGTCGACCTATATTGATTCTCTAATTCACACGATGCATTGTCTGCTAGCCATTTGATATTACCATGCAATGATATCCCACGAGTATATATATACCCAATCATTATATAACTATCTCTCTCTCCCATTCTCTCTCTTTTTTCTTCTTGTTTTTAGCCACACCTATCTTCTCGAGTTTGTATACGACATATATATATGTGCATAAAACTCAATAAATGTATAATAATTCTTTTACATAAATTCGCGATCAAGAAATCAAAATAAAATACACCATTATGCAAATACATCTTTAACGCACAATGAGATATTCTGTTTTAAATCGAATAACAAATTACAAAAGGACACGTGTCCCGGCTTTGACCATGAGCCCTAATGTAATGTTCCCGAATAGTTTTGGTTTCGATCTTTGGTTTTCCACTACTCCGCAATTTTTATTTTACAATAAAATATTGGCCAAATGTACGCTATACAAATTTATCGACCAAGAAATGGATAATTCTACAAACTCAAGTTTACTTCGAGTAAAAATCTTACGTGCGCAGAAAAATTATATAAAACTAATAATATCTGATATATAAAATTGCACATGCAAACTCACAAATATAATATATATATGTATTATATAGTTTTTTCTATATCGCCGCTTAAGTTGGTGCGCAAAAAAGTTGGGATATCCAGTTTCATCCATGATTTTAAATATAAAAAAAAAAAAGAGTTAGCGGCGAGAGTAATGATAAGATGTTTGGACGGTTCGTAATTAAAAATAATCATATCATGGGTGTATATATATGCCATTGTGCCAGCAGATTCAAAGTTACTGTTCTAGTACACATTCGTATATCTTTTACTGTTGTGTTTGGACCTACGCACAACCCCATGAGTGATCATGTCCTTTCGAATAATGTAAAATGAAGAATCTTGGGCTAATATGACATTCTATAACACCCATAATCGCAGGGAAACAATATACCAATTGTAAGGATAAATTAAATTTACTGACAAAAAACATTTTGTCGGATGCTTTATGTTCTTTAGATTGTCCTTTTCTAACACAAAGTATTAATTTGATTATGCTTTCAAATTAAAGTGGCCTCAAACAGATTGACGCATTCGGATTCAATGTGAAAATTATTTCACACAGTGCCTAAGGGGAAAAAAAAAGGGGGTAAGATTCCATTTTATATGTGCATTATTTAAAATCAAAAATAAAAACAAACGTTCCCTTTTTTTAAGTGGAAAGAAAAACGAGACAATGGCACATGGGATCTTAGGTAATGTGTGGGCACAGAAATTTATAATGAATTAAGAGCGTTCTCTTTTATTTTTCTTAATCGATAATTTAAATTGTGAAGGCAGTGATTACGCTTAAAAAATTCTCATGTCCGCCGTTTTCAGTTTTTCGCTTCCTAAGAATTCAGATAACACATTATAAAATAATCTTTTTTTTAAATGAATATTCATGTCATTTTTTCATGTATTTTCACAAAGTGAGAACCGTTCATTTAAATGATTCACTAGTTTTGTTCATCACACATATCTTTATTCTTTTAGTTTCTAGTTAAGTTTTTCCTGTCACTAAATTTCTAACTTAAGACGGGGATTAGTTTTTTGCCTGTTGTAAGACTTTGAAAAGTAATTTGAAAAATTAAATGCATGCAATTCATTTTTTTTTTCTGAATAATTGGTGAATGCTCCAACAAAAAATATATATTTCGTTTGCTTTTCTAAAAGATATTTTTGAATGCTGTTGTAAGGAAATAAAATTTCATGGTGCGGATTAAGTTTAAAGGTCACTGCCGGCTGTCTATTTATCAAAAAGCCAAAAAACAGCAATATAATAAAAATATTATTTTTCCCTTAAAAGAGGTAGAAGAAACAGTGATTGGCGGACTGATGAAGGGCGGTCTACAAGAAGGAATATTTCCCAACTAAACCCATTTTAATTGCTCCACTAATAGCATTTTTTTCCTGATTAGCACTGTACTTTTCCTTAATTATAGATATTGTCATATGTTTATGCGGCCCAATTATGTCCTTATGCAACTTGAAACGTTTCGTGATTCATCCTCTCGTGTAAAGTTTGAATGTAAAGCAAGAAGTTGAGTTTTTTTTTTGTTAAAGAAGAAGTTGAGGAAGCTAATGATTTTAATCTATTGTAAAAAACGCGGGATATATATATATAACAAAGCACTGACTTAGGTAATAAATTTTATGTGGTGAATGGGTATATAAAATTTCGGCTTGTATTAAATATTCTAGAAGCGGCATATATATTAATACATATAGAATTTGCGTTCACAAACATATAAATTCCGTACTCTAAAATAACACTGAAAGGTGATGACGTGTGTCTCCGTATCTAACTTTTATGATTTCACCATTTTATACACGAATGTGAATATGTCCCCTCAACAAAACTATATTCGATTGCAAGCTCCTTGTGACACTAAATGTAATATATTTTAATACTCTATTTGAGATTGATCGTATATTTAGTAAGGTGAGTAAATAAACTAGAAGATGAAGAAGAGAGTGCATGCATGGCCATGGCCATGGTCTCATGGGAATTTTATACGCTCCAACACGTTTGATGCCATGCATCATGATGATCAATGTGTAGGATCGATACTTAACACTGGGAATATATTATAATCTTTACGTAAAAAACCCACAAAAAAAAAAAAGAAAGAAAGTCGGTATCATGTCTAAATATTCACTGGATTAGTTGTAGATATCCAATGTAGCAAATATTTGGTTAAAAGCGTAGAGATTCTAAAATGGAGTATTCATGAATCCTCATAAAGAAATTGGAAGATGCTCTAAAAAAAATGCAAACATAATCATTTCTCACATCCATTGAATATATATACATACTCGTGTCCGACATTTATCCGATCACTCGACGATCAATTACAACTTTGTGAATATATATATACACACTTTACTGGGGCTTGTCACTTGTCTTGCTGACCAAACGAAAAGCGCGCACAAACACACACACACACACACATATATACTCCCTCCGTTTCAAAATATTTGTAGTTTTAGGTTATTTTTCATGTTTCAAAATATTTGTCATTCTACATTTTCGAGACATTTTTTTACAATAGTTTCCAATTTTATCCCTATCAAATTCCAATAAATTATTAATGATAACATTATTTTTATCATTAAATAAGGACAAATATGACCTTTTATTTTTTTCTTAAAAAATGTGAAAAATCCTAAAACTACAATTAATCTGAAACGGAGGGAGTATATATTAAAAACTAAATTTCTAGGTTTTTTGGGATTGAAAATTTTCGGTGATAAATATACGAGGTTTAATAAATATACGATATACGTTGTATAAAATAATTATGTTGAATTATCGTATATATTTTATAGTTTTATTATGATAAAAAGGGGTTTAGGAGTGATATTCTACACTATTTTTACCAATTAGACCGTGATATGTTTTTTTTTAATTTTATATAACATATATCGTGTGTGTATATATATATATTATAGTTTTATTATATAAACATCTAATAATACGGTGAAAGGCAGAGGAACGAAAGGAAAAGAAAAGCAGAAACGAAGATAAAAGTTCTTTTTTTTGTGAAACGATAAAAAGCAAATTGCAGCTTTTCGTGAGATTATAAAAAAGTAATGTTTTTATTTTTATTTTATTTTTAAATGAGTGCTTTTTATTTCCTTCACACAAACTCAATTATAGTCGAAAAAGCAGATCGCTTTTTTAATTTGCTTTTTTTCTCCTTTTTCTATTTCTTTCCCTCCCTCTGGATTTCCCAAGGCTGATAATTCGGAACCCTACAATCCCCTCTTTCTAAAAGGGAGACTCTTAAAGGTTATTTATTTTCTTTGTTTTTTTTTAATTATTATATAATGTTTGTTCATAATTTCCAATCCATCGTTCTGCCATCATGAGAGGAATAT